TTTCTTTGCTTTTTTCGCCACTGATGTACTATTGAGGACCCCCTCGTCCCCTCCAAACCACATTTAAACCTAGCGTAACCGCTGCCTTTAAGTTTATTGCGTATAATATATTTCAACCTGAAGTCTCCCATCTTCAATTCGTAATCGTGTATTGTGGTCTAAAACTTGTTTCATCACCTGTTCTCATTCATGTTTCAGATATTACATGGGACCATGCAAAAAAGTTCGAGTGAGAGAAATTAATTCCCTTTTTAGTCATCATTCAAACCGAATGTGATTACTGTGCCATAATGTCTCTTTACGAACCATGGACCACTAAACTCTGTTTTTATTTACGTTACTGTGCTGCCGTCGTCCGCGATCTCTCGCATTAATAGCGCGCATGACTGCAGTGGCCTCGTACTATCGACCCTTGTAGCACTCTGTAATTGGCTCACGGATCTCCCTTCTGTAATCGTCGAAGCTTTCGTTCACTTCCTCTCTGTGTTCTGACCTTCCGCAACGAGAGTAAACTTATAGGAAAGTTCATGGATGATGCTACGTAGTCATGAGATATCTTTGTTGCAGTTATGTACCTTACTGCAAATTTATGAATTGCGAAAAAATAGTCTAACATGGGATGATGCAGCGCTCAGTATGATGCTTCATTTAGCTATCATGGTAGTCATTTTGCATGGTTTCCAGCTGTTCAATTGCTCCTGAGCACGCTTTCGCGTTTGAAGAAATACCGCATGTTTCTCTAGTGGTGGAGGTGAGGCAGGAATCGGACTCCACTCCATAAGAGTTCACAGGGCATAGCCTCTGCTATTCTATGGGGTGTTCTTTTGAGAGACTAGAAACTATGCGAGAGCTCTTGTACCAATGCTAGCTCCTTCAGCGCTCAGTTTCTACTGCTGTCTTCGTCGGTTTCTTTTCCGTTCTGAGTTCGCTTTGTTGAATTTTGGAAAAACAGTTGTTTGTGATTCTCTGTATCGCTATAGTGACTCACAATTAAATATTTTGATTGGACAGTCATTAATCTTATAAATTATAGTGTTGATGTGTGTTGTTAAGTTTATGAAAGGTGATCGTTTTGCTACTCATCTTCACGAATTTCAGTGTGAAGGCGGTTGTGGAGGATGTATCGAAGCGACAGGTCCCGCCCTATCAGCGCTCTTTGGTTTTGGAGGTGATGGCTACCGACCCGAACACCGACGCTGATGTAGAAGTCCCTTACATCCGTTATGTATTTGCATAAGCATGTTGAATGATATCACTTTTTGTGCGCTTCCCGTTGATACAATCTTTGCCTCTTTTCTTCGCGGTATCGTAGATTGTCAAATGTAACATTGCTGCACCCTTGGATCGATGCCTCTTCGTTGGATGGTTTTTTTATTATTGTAGTTGGTTACATGTGTTTCCTGTTTTGGTTATTAAAAGAGGTGTTAACCAAGTCAAACTGATTTCATCTGAAGTGATTCGTGGATGCTCTTCTTTAGGGAAAGTTGTTCTTAAGCACGCCGTGCGCTGTACTGGTCTTCTTCTTCCGATGGTATCCCTCTTTTTTGAAGTCCTTTTTTAGTAATGACTGTTGATCTGTGCTTATCCAACCATAATTTTAAATAATTTATTTTAAATTAATTGCAAATGAATTAGAGATAACACCTGTATCATTTCTTGTTTGCACTCTGCAATTAGTACGAGTAAAATTTCAAGTGTCACATACACAGCTGTACAAAAAAAAATAAAACAATAGCGCGTTCAAATACTGAGATATAGACCATATCGACAAGAGCGCCTGAGAGGTCGCGAAACAAGATCGGATTTCCATTGTAGGCGTACGTTTGCCTGTGAGGCCGAATTTGGAGTTCTGCGTTAAGCCTTTAGCACGCATTGACATCCTGTACATCTGTGAGCTGAAGTTTGTGTATGCTGAGCCTTCCTGATCTGGACCCACTGGCAGTCGGACTATCGGTTAGCTTTGCGATAAGGTAAACCTGAATGTATGGCTTTGCTTTTGCTATTTGGATTTCATCATGTTGAAGGAGAACCTCTTCGCGAACCCTTTTTGACATGAATGTCGTTAAATGTGTTATATGTGATCCCTGAAACGCACAACAATTTCCACGCGAAGATATCGGTTCAGAAACAAACGTACAAAAACTACATCGCCATGTAGGACAATCGAAGGTAATTCGGGCGGAGCCAAAGGCGAGGCATGGAAAGAAGTTGGCCTTTGGCCGGCTACGTATCAGGCGACGCAATGAAAGAATCGGTTAAAGCGCGCGATTTCGGAGAGTAGAGACAAATCGATCGATAGAATAGGATGGAGTAGAAGTGTAAGATGTGAATGCAATAAAGCAGAAGGCCAGAAAGAGTTTCTAGTGAAGGCACTCCAAGAACCAAGTGGAAGCATCCCCGTCGCCAGCATTTGTGAAAGACGTCCGTGGGCACTTTGAACGCGTAGCAGCCCTTTCGATTTTTCGAATTTTTACCAAAACAAAAGCAATATTTCTGTTCTTTTCATTCTTATCGTGGATAATGAGTCTCAAGCCAGTGATTTATGGCTGAAATAGAATCATGATTTTTCCGTGAAGGATTCCTTTAAGAAAAAATAGGGCTGCCTATAAAAGTCAACCTTTTTACCCCTTTGGTGACAACGGCACCCACCGCTGGGTACCACTAACATTCTAGAAGTTATTATCAAGCTTCATCATATTTTCTTTTATGAGAATGGTTAACGAACGCGCTTGATAAGAGGCCAATTTGCCGATAACTTCGTATAATGTATTGCTAATTACAACCTTTTCAGCGAGTTTTTTACCCCCCCCCCCCACCAGGGTCAACCGTCCGTTGGACAAAGTCCAACGCGACGACGAGAGTAATGCCGAGAGTGAACGTACGCACGGAGACACAGACGGCTCGCGGGTGGCGAGAGTGAATGCCGGCGCGGAGAGCGGTCAACATCGGTCCAACGTAACGGTTGACCCTGCCACCATTTGCAATCCCTGGTTCTCTCCAGTCTATCCACTTTTCTTTCAGACAATGGCATAAGATGGAAATCCTGTAGGCTATGTTCCATGGGTTGCTTAAGCAAAATTGATGGGGGGAGGGAGAAAGCCTTTAGGGATGATTTCGTCCAATGTTGAGCGAGATTAGGGTGCGTTAAAAGAGGCGTGGTCCCACGAGCCCGCTCTGTGCAGATCCGCATTGTCGTCAAAGGGTTATGTGGACTCACCTTTGTGTCACTCGGTAGCATTTCAATGTAGTCTTCACCTTGCCGTCCCTCAACTTTGAAGCAACTTTCTAATTCTTTGTTGGCGCTGTCGTTGCAGACGAAAAAGACTACGTCTCCCTAAAAGTCACTCGTTCAAGTTCTGCTTTCAGTGATGTCAATTGTAAATGAGCCGATCTTCGAATTCTTCGTAGCATTTTGTTCGCTGGGGAGCATTCTTAGAATACTGATCTTCGAATTTCAAAGTGTTGTACTATGGTGGTAACGTACCTCTACAGTATATGTGAAGTGCAATCGAGCGATGGTATTGAGATGGAAAACGGGTGACTCGAGAATTGCAATGTTGTGAAAAGCGTCGAGCCGTGTAACTGCTGAATGATCAATCACCTGAAATCGTGAACGGTGCTCAAGGGTGTCAATTCGTCGCCGGATTTCAAACTAAAGTCCAAAAAGTGCTTACATCATGTCCGGCGCTGTTTTGAATTCGGCTCGAGTCGTAGAGACAAGCGTGCCCTCGCAGGAAATCGCACGAAAGGAGGCGACAAGCGTTCGGGTCTGGTTGATCAGCCAACGGATGGTACGATTTGGAGGAGTATTGTCGGAGTACTGAGGGACATAAATCGCCCTGAACATGAGCACTTCTTTACAATGTCGACTAACGCAAAGTCGTTCTCAAGCAGTTAGAAGTACGTTTTTCATGTTTGAATAGGGTACAGGAATATTAGAATACGCATTTGTCAAGTATTTTCAAAACTGTGCACCGCACAGTAATGTATCGAATCAGCTACAGCTTAGCGGTGAAACCTGAAGCTCCACCGACTGTCAGTTCTAGCAAAGGCTTCCTGTCATGCGCGCGGTAGCGGGCGGAGCTAAACTGGTTTCAAAAAAAAGACGAGAAAGTTATCGCATGGTAAACTCTGCGGAAAAGGGATTCTGACCGTCTTCCAAATTAGACACGCCCGGCCTATCACAGACTGTAGTTTTTTGCTGACAACCGTAAAAGGTGATAGATGATGTTGAAATTAAAGGATATGATTACAGACCTCGAATAAAATGTGATAATCGTATATTCAACGGTTTACCTGCACACTGATGTCATCCACGATAACCATGCCTGATCAGGAGATTCTGCTCGAAGAGCGATTCGAAACGGTCTTACAATCCGAGGCAGATCAACGACAACTGGACCTGATGTGGCCGGCTGGCAGTCCAGAAGAGACGGCGTTGATTCATCCACCAAACACACCTGGTGGAAATAATTTTAGTATAGAATTTTCAGAACCAATGACCAACGTTAGACCAGTGGTGTATGTAGTTTCACCTGCAATTTGGCAGTTCCTGTGAGCCATAGGTTGAACTGAATGCTAACTTCATTCACAACACATCGAATCACTTCCGAAAGGAGCATAGTGATACGCCGTTTCGCATTCCGACGCCAGCCGGCGATTCACCCATCTACAACAGTTAGGATTTATGATCGTTTGATGGATTAGCTTACACTAGTTATATATCCTATCTATAATACTATAACCCTACTATATATAATGCGCTATGTCGGCCTGTGTGTAACGGTGTCTGTCTGTCACGACTTTCTGGAGATTCAATTGGACAGACCAGGTGTGGAATGGGTAAGTCAGGTCTCTAGAAGTACAAAATATGCAACAGTTAGGCGGAGCCCCGCCGACTGTGGGCGTAGTGTGCATCTAAACGAGCGGTACTGATGACCATAATTTCAGAATTTCATAAAACAGCGTCGAGACCGGGGAAAAAAGTGGTATGGAAGTATGTTGGTAAGCCAGATCGAAACCACGGTAGGCGGGCGTTCTCTAAAAAAGCGATGCTTAATGAGCAAGTTCATAACTCGGTTAGGAAAGGCTTACAGAGCAGGAAAAAAATAGTGTAGGGAAGTATGGTGTTCCCAGCACACCCTACGTTCACGGAGGCTATCCCACAATGGGCGCAGCGTATCCTGAAGTAGGCAGCAGTTCCTACAAGTCCATGATTGTCATTCCGAAAAAGTCTCATAAGAGCTTTAAAAAGGTGCAGAGGTCAGAGAAGGAGGCTAATGTTATGTGTTGAGCATCGGCATGCAACAAAAGTGACTGAGTTTTGCTAATCAAGCCCAGAGCTCGATTATAAGAGTCCCCGGAAACCGGGAAAAAGTGGAGTCCTGACAAGTGAAGGGAGTCATAATCTCCTTGGTGGAGGCGCGCGTGCGAGATGGACGAAAGCTTGCGCAGTAACCTACAAATTATGCGATGCCCTCTTTTATTCCACTGCAGCCCCGTGTGATGCACGCGAATGCGTGGCGCCGCCAGAGACTGGTACACTAGAAATCCAGAATAAACAGCTGAGATGAGTGTTCCTCAATAACAAATGGCGTTTTGCCGTTTATTCTGCACTGCGAGCTGTAGACTGACAGAGTGTTACGCGCGTCTTCTTCTAGTTGATATTAACATGAGGAAACACTATGTACTTCTTACTATTAGCCGCAACACTCTTGCAGCCGACCTTCCCGCTGAAAAGGTGGGACCGCCGGTGAGTTGAAAAACGCTTGATGGTAGAACTTAACTCTAACCCTTGAAACACATTCGGCCCTCAAGGACTCTGTCGAAATCTTAGCAAATTGAACAAATATTTTACCAAGAAACCTCGAAGGGCAGCAGAGGTACAGAAAAAGATAGAAAGATGTATATTTTTCTTCCGCTCAAGATAAAATAGGAGACTGTGAGTAGATTGCGCCAGTGAAAACCCATGGAGAAGCCATAGACAAGCGGGTGAATCAGCCAGACAGAGTCATAGCTAATGCCTATGAATCGGACACCTTACCCGGTAATCATTGTGGCCTGGCCGCATTTTTCTTTAATACTTTTTTTTTCGGGAATAGAACTTCTCCTGTTCAGCGGGCCATTGGCAAGCACCATCCACTGGTTCTCGCAATTTCCGTGTCCTCCGTCTGCCTGTTTGGGAACTCTTCGACGCCCACACACAGTTAGCAGCTCGAAGACCGTGAAAAGTCGCAAGTGAGCTCCCCTAAAATGCTGAGTTTCTATTTAGTTCGTCGTTATATGGTGAAGAGTGTGTTTACTGAGAGGTGCCTCGCTGGTGACGGCTCGTACACGTGGCACGTTTCCGGGATCAAATTCCGGATCGTGCCAAAAAGTCATCCGAGCACTCCATCCCTGTGGTTGGTTAAAAAAAAACATTCGTATGGGAGGATAAAAACACTAACTCGCATATCTGGTGACCCAACTCATATAATGGGTCGAACCACGTTCAAATAAAAGTATTCTGGATGGATTTGCTGATATGATTCCCTGGATAATCGCGTCGCCCTCGCCAAAAGTGTCTTTCTAAGACGCCAAATGCTTTTATTCGCTTATTTTGTTACGATGAATGTCTTATACGAGAAGGATAACTTTAGTTTAATCGACCTTGAAATTTGTGGCATTTCTGAAATATGAGTAAAGTCGATTGTGGATATGTCTACAAGTTGAGCCTCTTCATTGGCCTAATTATGCATGCATCTCCGAGTCATCCCTTTGGGTCATCTCTTCTTAGATGCAGGGGTGTTGCCGTGGAAGTGGCTTTAAAGTATTACAGTGACCAGATCCTTCACATGAAGCCTTGGCCTACCTAGGTGTCCCGCTCACGAATTTTTGTAACTCTTCTGGGGCCGGGTGCAGCAAGCCCCAATGAGGGGATGGGGACCCATCCCTCTCCCCGAGGTTGGGACATATCCCTGATTTCGTCATAGCATGCTATCATTTTTCAATGGTCGCTATGACGCGGACCGATGGCGAAAGTCACTGCCGTCGAGTTCTTCGCATCGGCATCTGAGGACACGAATCCCCTTAGTATCGACTAGGGGGATATATCCCCTGCTGGTAGAGGATATATCTCCCTAGTTCCCGTTGGGGACATGTTCCCAAGATTGGGGATATATCCCCCATGATTGGGGACATTCCTTCACCTGCCCTCGACCGTGCCGTTTGGGGACATATCCCGCAAGGTTGGCTATATCCACAGCTGGGGGATTTATAGCCGAGGTTGGGGATATCCCAACCCTTGGGATATATCCCCAACCATGGAGACATATCCCAACCTTGGGGATTGGGCTTGCTGCACCCGGCCCCTGATGTCGCATTTCGAGCACGTTGACAAATAATGTGATAAAATATGTGTGAGCGCGCTTGCTATGTGCAGTGGTTTTGACGTAAGGGGATACGAGCGCTAACGGTGTTCTGCTCTTCCATAGTTGGTCTTGCTAATTCTCTCTGTTCCCTAGCCCCAGGTTACTTCCACAGTCGTCCTTCAAAGATGCTCTGACCACTGGTAGCTACGTGCGAAAAAACTCGTTTACCTTCGCTGAGTCCACGTTCCTATTAAGAAGCAGACTGAGCATTGGGAGTGCTGAGGAAATGCTCGCCAAGATCGAACACACTTATCGCGTCACTGCAGAGAGTAGCGCGGTAGGAGATCTCATCAATAATCACCACGGAATCGAAATCCGGATTGAAGGATTTGACTCGAATCGAAATCTGAAACCAACGTGAAATTACTAACAACTCTCGAGGAAAAACTTTCAGAGGTACCTCAAAATTCTTTGCAGCTCTGATAAACGACACCGAGACGGGAGCCGGACTCATTTCAGATGGCAGGCGCATAGCATTCGATTTCCTCGCCCATCAGTGATACAGCACATGCCTCCAGCTCGACATCCCTCGATTTCCAAAATCTGAACAGGCTTCGTTACTTCATTTATCTACGTTGGTGCTTTCTGCACTCGTATAACTTCGTATAAAAAAGTGGTGTTCTGCGTGTCTGAGCTCTGGCAGTTGATCGATCCTGAACGCAGTAATCGAGCGGTCCCTTGAAATAAAGCCCAGTGAGAGCGTTATACCTTCCGAGGTTACCAGACTTACCTTGGTGTCCTGCTCAATATAAAGCAGTGCGTATCTTCCTTCAGGTTCAATGTAGCTTCCTGTCATATTGAAGAGTAACTCGGGCGGTAGTGAAGACGAAGAGGTCCTCCATGGCTGAGCATTCATTTGTAGTAATTTTTTATAGACTTCGTAGTGAATTTTTGAATACACCCTTGGAGATTTTTCTGGCGCGGCCTGCTTCCCGGCAGTCCTCAAAAGTTTTTGGGGCCATCAAGGTCCGCAGCTGATCGAATTGGGCTTTTCGTGCGCTTTCGGCGACACATTAGTGGAGACGATTGAAGCACATCCGGCCACGTTCGACTGAAATTGTGACTTCTTTTGTACGATGTCCGCAAGCCTAGTCAATTTGAGGCACATTCCACAAGGGTAAGCGATCGTTGCAGGGGATCAAGTGTGGTTTTCTTCCATGAAGCTCGTGTCATCCCTGCCGCGCGACGACAGCTACGAACAACTTACTGCCCGCCTCAAACCGACAGCCCTTTTTCTCGCGCTCTCTGTGCATCGCTACGAGCTTACACGCGACAGCAACACAGCTCAGGACCCGCCGAGGTTGTCGAACACACGCGCCGCCGCCATTGGCCGAGCGCAGGCACACTAATCGTCTCTCCGTACCTATGTGTCACTTACGCACCGCTACTCGACTTGTGGATAGGATCACGTTAGGTAATTGAATTGGTCCGTATTTACCATCGCTCCCCTGCAATTCGATCCGCGACCATCACGCGCTTAGGGCGGCTAATCTTTGCAAGGCTGCACTCGATCGTCCAGCATGCAACGCTTCCCGACCGCACGCTGCGGGTTGTGTAGTGTCAGTGTCGCATCGTGTGCATACATCTCTCGCGTGCTTTGTTTTCTTTGATTACATTCTGTCCTCCCGCATGCATACTAATACCGAGACCAGCGAAGGTTATGTTTTATCCTGAGGCTCACCTTTAGAGAGTGTACGATTGGAGAACATCCCATCAGAATTAGGGTAGAGGCGGTCGGTGACGTTGGGACGAAGAAAAAATCGTGAGAAACGGCCCAGAACCCCAGAAATGGGATCAGTTCGTGCTATTTCATTATCGTATTGATGGCGATCTCGTGGTGCTGCCCGCTAAATGCTGACTGTTGCTCTTTCTGCTGAAGCAGCTCTCGACACCCCGGCGAGTGGTTAGCCAGTCGATGGCGTTCCGTGCCGATAGCGCCGCTGGGAGCTAAGTGCTAGGTTGTCCTTTCCCGGAGAATCGCGTGTCGATCAGCAGTCTTATGGGGTCCGCCTGTCTTCTCGACATTCTCCTTCCTTTAACTCAAAACGCTGCCGCTTGCTGCTCATCTCCATGTTGGATGTACCTGAACCTATGGGCGTTTCCTAACACACATCATGAGCTAGTCATGCATCTATTCTGAGCGCTATGTGGTAATGGATTGGCATAGCATATCCGTGGAATCCTCTACCCGCCTAGTCGGGGAATGTGCCTCTGATCAGAACAACATACTGGCAACTTTGCAGAGCGACGCTCTGTACATGATATTGTCAAGCATAATGAACGATCCCTCTGTGGTAGCCATGTCATACGCTCGGATGCCAATTCTGTAATACCTTCAATAGAATATAATCGTCACCTGAATGAAGTTATTAGCTCACCTGAATGGCGTTTCCCGTGCCGGAATCTCGGCGTGGCATTCAGTGTTCATCTTGACGGTTCCTGAATCTTTTCATGAGCCGGTTAAGAGTATTTTTGACGACCATTTACCGTTCCACGAGATCGCCTCATACGCTAGCGGGCGAACGCTCTTCGGGTGCTTCTATGAAAGTTAAGAATAAATGATGCGAAATGTGGTAGTGTTTTCCAAGTGGATATCTGTAGTGTGAATAGTGAACCAAGTCCGAAGGTCGAAGAAATCTAGGCCGATCGCTAGCCGATGGCTCCTGTACTGGTTATGAGTAGAGGCGTGAAGAGTGAATATACCGCGCGAGAGCGCAGAGCTCGCTCGTGGCTAGAGCGGTGGCTGCAACGAGTGGTAATCTTTTTACGAATTCTTGACGACGATTGTTCTGGTGGTTTGGCAACGCAGCCATGCTCCAAGTCTGGACGGCCGCCGCACTCAAAAACCGCTCCGTTCGTTGGGCGCTATTGAAGTTTGTCATACCACTATCATTACAATTCGATTTTCATTTCAAAAGCACATATCGTATTCATATTCTCATCAAACAACCGTATGTTATGATCTTGTCGTAAATTACCCGTTATTACAAATGAAATTACCTGTTTTGTTAATAAATTAATGGTCAGGTGTAGCTCATGAAGTTGTAACGTCGGCAGGCAGTTAAAGGTCTTACAAGGGAGGTCTTTCAGGGCAAGGTGCGCTTTTTCAAAACGGTTTTGTGCATATTGTAGGGACGCATGTAGGGAACGCAAAACCATGTTTCATTTTCGCTGAACGGTTATAGCAGTACCAAAAAAGAAGCATAAGGTACTGTTAAGGGTTCGATCCCCCGTGGCGACTAAATTTTGCATTTGGGTTGGCGCCTACGGTTTGGTGCCAAATCGCGCTAAATATCAAAATCAGATGTCAAATTCATCGTCAGGACCATTTTGAAGCCAACAAGTGGCCGCCAACCTTGATTGCAAAATTTAGTCGCCGCGGGGATTGAACCATCAAGAGTATTATTCACCACTTTTTTGGTACTACTAAAACCGTTCAGCGAAAACGAAACATGGTTTTGTGGTCCATACATGCGTCCCTACAACATGTACTAAACCGTTTCCAAAAAGCGCACCTTGCCCTGAAAGACCTCCCTTGTTAGTTCCAGATTCTCAGCACAATCCGATTCAAGTTATTTCGCTGCGAACCTTTTGCGTATCTGTCTTCATATTTCATCATCAGAAAATATAGTAGTCCTATCCTCCCGCAAAGGAAACTTCTTTGGCAGGACTGCGGCCTTACGTTTCTGTGCGGAGTCTATATTTGGCTCATGTAATCATGTTACAAAAGAGAGGTCGCGGCTCGCGGTGGACATCGCGACTGACGCAACGGACGCAAACCGGTGTCGCTTCCAGCCTGAGGGGACCTGTTATAGAAGTTGATTGGCAGGATATAAGCCAACCGGCTTGATTACTCATTATCGCCTATCCCGAGCTGCGACATCGTCATGATGACTAATGATGATAGTGAACAGGCTCACGTTTCTATAAAACTGTGCTATTGAGCTTGCTGCTTTATTCTGAATAAACAGACACCAAGTAGAAGTAATGCGACGTCGAGTACATTACATAGGATGGAAAGCACAGGACTCAGTTTTGCCTGCTTCCGCACGTCATGACAGCAATATAGGAGGCCTTCCAGAAATACCAACTACCTGCTGATTTGGTCGAATTGGTAGGCGTGGTAGGATGCGAATTCCTCCGCAGTAGTTCTTATGAAGTTAATAACAAGACTTTTACTTAATGACGAGCGCTTTGGGAACAACGTCCTTCAATAGAGAGGGTACCTTTTTGGTAAAAATGTGAGAGCTATGATTTTGTTCCCCAATATTAAATAGAAGAGCAGCTAGTAGATGTCTCGAAAAGTTGTTGCTTTTGAAGCTAAAAACGTAATGAGATCAGTGGTTGGAGGAACTAGAGCCACTCACTACAGGCTTGAGGTACGAGTGAAATTTTGGCTCCACTCAGGCCTAGGCCAGGAAGCAGACAACCCTGATGTCGTGTTTTTGTATTGGGAACATTTCGGGGCCACTTGCTCTAACTATAAATTTGTGAACTGGAAGCAACTTTAGTAATCCATAATTCCTACTCTTATCCCTCCTTGTTCTAAACTTCAAAACCTTCCTGAATACACATCCAATAAATAATTAAATAAATGAAAAGTTCTACGGGTGGTCTATCCCCATGAGAATGAAGCTTCATAAATGGCTTACCACAATCCACGTAGGGTTTTTCATAAAGCATTTTGTAACCTCGATCGGGCAAGTCTTCGAAGAGGAACGATCTCAACGTGAGCGCTGTTATAAGCCCAATATCTGCAAAGGAACTGTTTTCGGTGAAGTCATTAGAGCGGATGCGCAGAAACTCACGTGAAAGTTAGATTTCCAGTCGCATTTTGGCATCCAATCGGCGACGAGAGGTAAATCGCCGTTTGTTCCTCGCGCTTTCTATCTCCAGTGAAAATCATTTTTTCTCCTAAATGTAACGTTCGCGTAACACACGAATCACTTTTTACCTAGGTCATTCCTTGGAAATTATACTATGCACCATGTGTGTATGTATAAACTCGGACGCGACGCACCTTGATGGACTCTGGTCGGGCCCGGACCGACTCGCAGTGCCGGAAACTCGGTGAAATCGACTTTTTCGAACAGGTGGAAATCGAGCGAGTCGAATCCCAATTTGTTCTCCATGTTTTTCCAGCGACATTTCTTCGGATCAGCAAAATTGCAGTCCAAGTCGAACGAATGTCGAACAGGCCTGTCTTTCGAAAAGGCTGCAAAGGAATGATTGAGTTGTTTTTTGGTTCTTGAGATTAAGAGAAAAGAATCAATATTTTAAAACTTGTCAACTTAGTTGGATTTTGGAATGCGTGCTGGCAAAATAAAAGTATGGAAATAGATTGTACATAGCACTTAAAGGGCGGCGAAAGACTACGATAAACTTGTGTGCGACTGAGAGTAATTCACCAGGGGAAGCCATAGCCAGGGACCAAAGTAAGTGGAGCCCGGCTTCTTGGCGATGAAATGGCGTGCGTTAGTCGCGGTGTGGGGTTCAAAGCCTTTTCGGTGTTCCGCTTTCAACTTTGGCTCCAGCACCACCGTTGTTCGTTTTTAATTTCAAAAGAGCAGTTCACTTCGAGCGGCCTTAGCCTCTAATTTATAAATAAAAGTACTATTTCTGTTTGTTTCTTCCGTTCGAGGTTTGAAAGGTAGAACATTTACCGTAAC